CCCTGTACAGTAAGAGTAGGATCCCAATTAATAACATAGGGTAATTAACCAACCAAATATGAACTTGGTAAGCCAGGTATTTGTCCAAATTCTATTAGATTCTTCAAGTGTGACTTAAAAACTACATCTTGAATGGTATAAGCCAACACCTAATCTTTGAAATTTGAAAATATGAGTAACCCAAAAATATGAAGTATCAGATTGAGTTTGTTATCCTAACCTTGATCGGACCTTCTTGAAATAATATCTCTATTACTTCTTTTAGAATGGGAAGCAAGCCAGAGTGATGCATGCCTGTTCCACGTTTCAAGAGTGGTAGCATATTAGATACCTGAAAGAATAAAACAAAATCCACTTGTCACAACCTATTTGGCATCAACTGAAAGTAGCTTCAATGAGCAAATCTATATAATACTTCAGAACTACAGATAAAGCTGTAAACCACAACTGAATCAAGAATCACCAGTAAATTTCATCATGGCTTCAATATCAACCAAAATCACAATTCAGCAAGAAGAAATAATTCTACAGCACAATACGCTGGAAACTGTCGATGGCATCGGTACGGGGATGTAGAAGAAATTAAGGATAATGATAACACTAAGTGGGGAGAGAAGAGGTCGTTCAGACATACAAGAAATGGCACCAGCACCAACACAGGATGGCAGATGAGAGAATATATCATGGATTCAAGCCGTGTTGAAGTTGGCAGTGATAATCGTATTGTTTTTTGTAAAATATACTACAAGGAAGAGCAGTGACTGCCGGGGAAGTAACCTACATTCTCTGCAGGGACTAACATCCATAAACTAAATGAAGTAACCTACATTCATGTCTTCATCACGCAGAGACATCCCATCAGGGTACCTAGAAATAACTTCTGGAAGCTTCTTCAGTGCATTCTCCCAGGCTTCCAACGGCAAAAGATCTTTTTCTATATTCAAGCATGCAATACCTAAGCAAATAACCTGTTCGAGACATGAAATAAATGATGAATTATCCTTCTCTGGACATGAAACAAAAATAAACCAAAGAAGTTCAGAAGCATAGAATTGTAGGATTTTTTTCCCAGCAACTGCTCTCTCTGTAATAACCCTAGATTACCAACCAGGTGAAACCAAACCAAGTCAAGCCAAATTTCTAAATATGCTAATGGCTTCCTTCAAATTGTTTATCAAGAAGGAAATGAATGACCCTGGAGATGCCCTTTATCTAAATGCCATTGACATATTACATACACCAATTGTCAAATCAGTCAAAGATTTTTCTCATATATCATTATGTATTGCCCAATGCCCTATTTGTGATCATATGTTATTATACCATAATATTAAGCATAATTTAGTTAATATGGAAAATGATTCTAGAACCTTTTTTTCTCTCCTGCATATTAGTAGTGTGCCAAACCAGGAAGAGAAACCTGTAGCCCATCACTTGAAAAAATGGTTGGGAGGGGGGGTGGGGTTGGGAGCTTGTAGCACTAAAAGATTAAAATGTAAGGAAAGGGAGATAGAAGAAGAATAGGAACATGAGTAAGTCCACATTAATAGATAATGGCTGTTCATCAAGTTACTGGTTGCTACATTTGTATGGAGAACACGTGTCATAATGTAAATTCATAGAAGGAATGGCTCTAACACATATAACAGAAAATATATCATATCCTACAGATTCATAGATGTAATCCATATATATCAGAAATACATATATGATTATATTCTATACTGCATAGATACTACCCATGCATATTATTTTATTTAACATATGATACAGATTCATATGTCCCTTTGAATTCCTCACATTAAACATGAGAATTTTTTAAATTGTAACCTAGACATTCAAAACAACAGAATAGCATTGAGGATCTTACCTGTGAGAGAGGGAATGAAACAATAAGAGGTTCTCCATGCTCCTTCAATGGAAGAATCTTAATTGTTTTCTTCGAAACTCCATCTTTGCTCACAACACATGCACCGACAAATACATGCCAGCTAGAAGAATAGAACTTGCCTGAGGTAGCTTCTTATCGTCATCTGAAAGCATGCCCATGGCATTCCAAGAGATGATTTCAATGTTTGTTTTCTCATCATAATCATTCAAATCCAATTTTGCCATCTACAATTTTTTCAAAAGAAGGATGAGGACTAGGTACTTGAAGTGTATAAAATAGAAAAAGAAAAAAAACCAAAAAAATGAGAATAACACATATCCATATGGCATAATGCCAAACAGGTAAGAAGCCACACAACTTAAAATTGAAAACAATTATTAGGCAGTTAGAGAGATAACTAACTTCCTCATTTGCCTTA